GTTGCAGTATCCTAAATTTTGGACACAATGTGCAATGTGCCCCATGTGAGATAGGAAAAGGTTTTTCCCTCAGAGGGTGGTTGGGCACTGAACAGGGAATGGTCATGGCTCTTAAGGCTGCCAGAGCTCCAGGAGCACTTGGATGATGCTGCCAGGGACAGGGTGGGATTGTGGGGTGTCTTTGCAGGGCCAGGAGTTTGCCTGGATGATCCCTGGGGTCCCTTGCAGCCCAGGATATTCCATGATCCTGTGATACGCTGTGGCGTTGGATGGGCTTTGGAAATGCCAGCCACAAGTGTGCCTGTGTGTGCTGGGACAAACACAGCCAGCCCACGTGGCCAGAGTCATGGGGCAGTTCTGCAGGCACGGGGAGCCTGTGCAGCACCTGCAGGGGAGCCTCCAGCCTGACCAAAAGTGTTGGTGGCAGCGCAGGCTCACCCAGGATGGGGAGCTGCTGGGCAGGCACAGGCTGGAGCTGACACAACAGCCTTGCTCCTGCCCTGGGCTGCCCAGCTCCTTCTAGAATCACAGAACCCTGGAATCACTGAGGCTGGAAGGGCCCTCTAAGGTCATTGAGTCCAACCATTAACCCAGCACTGCCAAGGCCACCATTAACCCGTGTCCCCAGGTGCCACATCCATGTGTTTTTTTAGTATTTCCAGGGGACAGTGACTGTCCTGCACAGCCCATTCCAATGCCTGACAACGCTTTCAGTGAATAAATTCTTCCTGATGTCCAAACTGAACCTCCCCTGGGGCAGTTCAGGGCCTTTTCCTCTGGTGCTGTGCCTTGTTCTCTGGGCGCAGAGCCCCACCTGGCTGTTAAGAAGTTGTAGAGAGAGAGATGGTGCCACCTGAGCCTCATTTTCTCCAGGCTGAGCCCTCCCTCAGCTGCTCCTCATCTTGTGCTCCAGACCTTTTCCCAGCTCCATCCCCTTCCCTGGACATGCTCCAGCCCCCTCAATGTTTTTCTTGTCATGAATGCCCAGAACTGGACACAGAATCCCAGGTGCCTCACCTGGCTGTATATGTAGGACTCCACCTTTTATGCACATGGCAGATCTCTCCCCAGCTCCAGCCCAGTGAGCTTTCAGGAGAGATTTGGCTGCATGTTGGTCCTGCTGGGACTGGGAATTGGAACCCATTTCAGGATGCAGTAAAACCTTAATCTGCAGCCTAATCTCTGGGTACTGCATCTGTGCAAAAATGGCAAAAACGACAGATGAAGGGCTGTGAAGGGAGGGCTGGGACAGCAAAAGCCACTGCAAAGAGGCAGCTGGTTTGCAGAGGTATCAGAAATCTTTGCTGAGGTCTCCAGGATGTGCCAAGTGCCTGGTGCTGGACTGACTGGAGAGGGAAGACAGCAGGTGAGGGACCTGGCAGGAGACACCCTGAGGGCAGGGAGCAGAGTGGGGGTCTGGCCCTGGCGTGTGGGCAGGATGTGGGTCCTGGTGACCTGAGCAGCGTTCCCAAGGGCACAGAGCAAATGCTGTGGGCATCTGCTGAGATGCAAGGGAAATGTGTCAGGGTCGAGCTCAGCAACACAGGAACAGCCAGTTCCAGCAGCTGTGTGAGCAGCAAAGCCACTGCAGCCCCCGAGGGCTCACACCTTCAAACCCATCCTTGTGGGGCACAGCTCCGTGTCCTCCTTGATGCCCCGTTCCCTCCTCACGTGGAAGGTTCTTATCTCGCCCATCACTGCAGCCAGGCTGGGCTGGAGATGCTGATAAGCTCAGGCCATATTAGAAGGGGACAGGTTGAAAGGCAGGCACGAGCCCAGAGGAAATCTGACAGCACAACCTCGTTCCAGCAGCAGCCGTGCTGCCAGCCAAAGGCTGAGCTCCTGCCACTGCTCAAGGGCACAGCAGGGCCAAGGTGAAAGCCTTTGCTGGCAGCAGGAACTGGAGGCAGGGCTGATCAGAGGCAGGAAAATCCAACCTCAGAAGTGGCAGCTTGCTGCTAAGCTGGCAAACACAGGATAACCAGTTTCCCCTTGAGCTCTCCAGCAGCACAAATAGCTCAGTTTTAGTGCTAGTCACAGCAGGTCTGACTCAGACTCAGGACTCAGCCTGGAGGCAGACCCATCCTGGTCATGGGGAGCAGCAATGCCACCACAGCTCAGCCAGGGGAGCTGAGCAGGTCCAGGGGCCACCACAATCCAGCAGGTCCCAGGTGCAGCAGGGAGGGAGCTTCACAGCCAGGGTCCTGCTGAGCAGGGCACAGGATGGCTGCATCCTCCCTCCAGCCAGGGCTGGGGCCCGCCTCAGCTTAGATGCAGCAAGAACAGGGCTTCTCCCAGCCATCCCTCACATCCCAGCTGTTTTCCCACCAGAAATCCCTGGAACCACCAGCAGTGACCCATTTGTGCTGCCCCACGTGGCACAGAGCCTTAGCGTGTGGGCTCGGGGGGCTGAGAGCAGAGCTCCCTCACAGACCCTCCGAGGGCAGGCGCTCAGCCTCTACCATGACCTAGAAAAACTCATCTTCAAGGACTCCCAGAACAGGTTGGGTTGGAAGAGACCCTAAAGCTCATCTCATCCCAGCCCTGCCATGGCAGGGACACCTTTCACCATCCCAGGGTGCTCCAAGCCCCATCCAGCCTGGCCTTGGGCACTGCCAGGGATCCAGGGGCAGCCACAGCTGTGCCAGGGCCTGCCCACCCTCACAGGGAGGAATCCCCTCCCAGCAGCCAACATAAACCCACTCTGCCATGCTGTCCTGCAGCTGGTGAGGCTGGCAATGGGCTCACCTCCCTGGAGGTGACAGCAGTGACTGATCACAGGGCTCTGCTGCCCTCACACGTTTTTTACCAACACCCAAATTTTCCAAGTCAGTCTTGCACTAAGTGGCACTTTCCAAGTGTTGTGATTGTGTTCCAAGAAAAGCCCTTGCAGTCACTCACATATTTTATTTTATTTTATTTTATTTTATTTTATTTTATTTTATTTTATTTTATTTTATTTTATTTTATTTTATTTTATTTTATTTTATTTTCCACTGACATTCCACCTCTTGGAAATGCCAGATTTTCCTTGTGTCATCTCAATTTTCTCACTAATTTCTAAAACCTTTACCAGGAAGAGCTGCTATGTCCTGCAGCTGGTGAGGCTGGCAATGGGCTCACCTCCCTGGAGGTGACAGCAGTGACTGATCACAGGGCTCTGCTGCCCTCACACGTTTTTTACCAACACCCAGATTTTCCAAGTCAGTCTTGCACTAAGTGGCACTTTCCAAGTGTTGTGATTGTGCTCCAAGAAAGGCACTTGCAGTCACTCACATAGCTTTATTTTATTTTATTTTATTTTATTTTATTTTATTTTATTTTATTTTATTTTATTTTATTTTATTTTTACCTTTCATGAAGTAAAAACCCTGCTTGAAAAGCAACTGAGGAAAATGTCAGGTTCACAAAATCCACACCTGCCTCTGGGTAAAGTTTGGAATCCTGCAAAGCAAGTAAACAGCAGCTCAGCCTTCAGCAATGGTTGGATTTAAACTGGCTATTAATATTAATAACAATATTAATGCTTCTTCTTTGGGCTGCACCTGCCACTGCCTCCTGAGTCCCTTTCCTTTCCTTTCCCCAGTGCTGAGGGGGAGCAGTGTAACACACACTGGGAATGTATCTAAATTAACTTGGAGAGCAGCAGCCCCACAGCCCAGAAGGCTTCACGGAGCTGGCACAGCACCCACGAGAGTATCACACACATTTCCCCCAGCACCACAGGTTTTAATTAAATTGTGCCAAGCCCCTGAAACCAACATTCCCCACAGCTGCTCAGTGGTGCCTGCAGTTCTTCCTGTTTCCGAGCTGGAAGTGCTGCAGGTCGGGTTTCACTGGCACCTTCAGCGGCTGGGTCAGCTGGAGCACAGCCCTGGGGACTCCGGGCTCACACCAGAGGTGCCACAGCCCCAGGGTGTGCCCGGGACTGGATACTGAGGGAAAGTTCTTCATGGAAAGGGCTGAGCACTGTGACAGGCTGCCAGGGACTGGATACTGAGGGAAAGTTCTTCATGGAAAGGGCTGAGCGCTGTGACAGGCTGCCCGGGACTGGATATTGAGGAAAAGTTCTTCACAGAATGGGCTGAGCGCTGTGACAGCTGCCCGGGCCGTGCTGGACTCACCGTCCCTGAAGTGCTCCAAACACGTCTGGGTGTGGCTCGTGGGAGCTGGCAGCTTTTTAGGGATTTTTTTGGTTTGGTAGGGCTGCGTTGATGGTTGGATTGGATGATCACAGAATCGTTTAGGTTGGAAAAGAACCCTGAAGTCATTTTTGCTCTTTCCTTATTCTGTTATTTCTGGGAAGGTGCGTGGAAATTCCTCCCTGGAGCTGAGGAGTACCCATGAGAGGGACTCCCACAGGCACAGAGATGGGTGAAAAGCATCAATGTTTGTTCAGTAATTACTTTATTACCTTTAATATAATTTACTATCAGTATTGCTTCAAAAATACTGCACTGCTGTAGTAGCTAGAGCTACCTACACTGGTAGGTAAAGAATTCTGTGGTAAAGAATTCTGAATAAGATCTTTTTGCATAATCCTTACAATCATTAATTTAAATATTTTATTTGTATAAGTATTTTTGGGTTGCCATCCTTAATCCTGAAAGACAAAGTTGTATAAAGGCTCAGTTGCACAGCTTTAGACATAAACCACTGGCCAATCCTGGAACTGGACCAGACTCCTCACGGAGGAAGAGCCCAGGGAAGCTGCAGAGCTTGGGACCCCCATCCATGCTGCCCTCAGGGGCGACACGGTGGCTGGGCCTGGAAGGCCTGACGGCGCTGGGGGGCGGCCATGAGCTCTGTCAGCCTCTCCCGGAGGGGCCGGGGCCGCGCCAAGGCCGGGCCGCGCCTCAAGCGGCAACCCCGCCCCGCCAAGATGGCGCCGGCCGGGCGGCGTGAGGGAGCAGATGGGCATCACGTGACTCCACTCCAGCCAATCAGCGTCGGGTGCCGCCTCCGTGGCGGGAAGGGTCGCGCGGGAGGAGTCGCTGACCCCGTGAGAACCAATCAGCGGCGTCCTGGCTGCCGGGGTGTCACGTGCCCCCTCCGCCAGCCAATCGGCGTGCGGCGGCGGCGGCGCCAAGATGGCGGACGATAAGGTGAGCGGGGAGCGCCGGGGCTGCGGGGCCGTGGGGAGGCCGCGCCCGCTCTTGCCGCGGCACTGGGCCGGGAATCACCTCCGTGTCTCCCGCAGGACTCGCTGCCGAAGCTGAAGGACCTCGCCTTCCTGAAGGGGCAGCTGGAGAGCCTGCAGCGCCGGGTGGAGGACGAGGTGCAGGCCGGCGTGGGGCAGGTAACGTGCGGGCTCAGGGCGGGCCGGCCGCGCCCTCGGAGAGCGACTGGTGGGGGGGGGGGGAAAACAAATCCCAGGGGAAAAACAGCCCACGGCTCACCCCTGGGGCACGTCCTGTGTCGCCCCCGGCCGTGCCTCACCGTGCTCTCCCCCCAGGACGGGTCGCTGCTGGCGTCGCCCTTCCTCAAAGGCTTCCTGGCGGGATACCTGGTAGCCAAGCTCCGCTTCTCCGCCGTCCTGGGCTTTGTGGCCGGCACCTGCACCGGGATTTACGCTGCCCAGAACTACGCCGTGCCCAACGTTGAGAAGACGATCCGGGACTATGTGAACTCGCTGAAGAAAGGTCGGGACTAGCGAGGAGGAGCCCGGAGGCAGCAGGGACTGCAGGAACCGTGCTCCTTAGGTAGCAGGCACAGAGCACCCCTAGGGCTCTGCCAGGCACGTCACCTGCACCCTTCTTTTCCCTGGAAAAGGGTCTTGCACCACACCAGTGCCACGCGTCAGGGGGCTGGTGATGGGTGTTTGTTGGGCATCATGGCAGCAGCGATCACTGCGCTGACCCACAGCAGCTTGAGAGCACCGAGGGGCTGCCAGCTGCCTTCTCCCCTTACCTTTCCCTGTGCCCCTGCGGACTGAGGGCTGCTGTGCCCTGTGTGCCCTGGCAGTGTGCTTTGTGTGGCTTCTCAGGAAGGCTTGTAGCTCTCCTCCTGACGAGGGACAGCACCCTGCTCTCCTGCTGCATCACGAGTGTGGCAGGGAACATCCTGCTTCAATCAGGCTCATTAAATTCTTGGTATTTGGTCTCTTCCGTGTCGCAGGGTGAGCGTCTGCGTGGCCTCTACACTGACAGCACTCACTGGTGCTGGCTCTCACCTGGACATGGGGATCCTTGGGAATGCTGCTGGCTCTGCCAACAGGCCGCTCCACAGGGGGCTGTGGGCGCTGATGCTGCTGCTCTCTGTGGCCATCTACGGCTCCCACGCGCCGCTGCTGACCCTGTGCAAGGTGGACGGGGCCATCCCCTTCAGCTCCACGTCGGTGGTGCTGCTGGTGGAGCTGGCCAAGCTGGCGCTGTCGCTGCTGGCGCTGCTGCCGGGGCCGTGGGAGCCGCTGCGCTGGCGCCACGCCGCGCCCTTCGCGCTCTCGGCCCTGCTCTACGCCGCCAACAACAACCTGGTGGTGCACATGCAGCTCTTCATGGACCCCAGCACCTTCCAGGTGCTCAGCAACCTGAAGATCGTCAGCACGGCGCTGCTCTACAGCCTGCTGCTGCGCCGGCGGCTGGGCGCGCGCCGCTGGCTGGCCCTGCTGCTGCTGCTGGCCGCCGGGCTCACCTACAGCTGCGGGGGGCTGCGGGGACACGGGGACCCCCGAGGGACGCGCCTGCACGTCACCCCCGTGGGGCTGCTGCTGCTCTCCGTGTACTGCCTCATCTCCGGCCTCTCCGCCGTCTACACCGAAGCCGTCCTGAAGAGCCAGGCGCTGCCCCTCAGCCTCCAGAACACCTTCCTGTACTTTTTCGGGGTGCTGCTCAACCTGATGGGCTCCGTGTGGAGCGGCACGGAGGGCGGGTTCCTGGAGGGCTTCTCCCCCTGGGTGCTGCTGGTCGTGCTCAGCCAGGCTCTCAATGGCCTCATCATGTCCGTGGTGATGAAGCACAGCAGCAATATCACCAGGCTCTTCATCATCTCCTGCTCCATCCTGGTCAATGCTCTCCTCTCTGTTGCCCTCTTCAACCTGCAGCTCACCCTCCTCTTCTTCGTGGCCGTGGCGTGCATTGGCCTGGCTGTGCACCTGTACTATGGAGTCACGTAGTCACTGCCTTCCTCCCACGTGTCTGGGCAGCCCCAGCCCTTCCTCAGGGCTGGAATCATTCCTGGTGGGAGCTGCACAGCTCCAAGGATCCCCCGAGGAGTGCTGGGGGGGAGAGCACCCTGTCCCTGCTCCCCCAGGGAAACTGCCCTGCTCCGGTGCAGCCAGGCTCTGTGCCATGGGGCTCCCATGGGATCAGGCATGCCCAGCCTTAGGGGGTCCAGAACCCCTTGTGCGTGCCTCATAATGTGCCAGGGGAGGTTCAGGTAGGACCTTAGGGGTGATTTCTTCTCAGAAGGGGTGATGAAACATCGGAAGGGGCTGCCCAGGGAGGTGGTGCAGTCACCCATCACTGGAGGTGTTTAAGGACTGGACGTGGCACTTAATGCCATGCTCTGGTTGACAGGGTGATGTTGGTTACAGGTTTGACTCCATGACCTCGGAGGTCTTTTCCCACCTAAATGATTCTGGGATTCTGTGTCCCTTGTCCTCGAGCTGCTTCTCCACACCACAGTGGCCTGGGAATGCCCTGGCAGTGCTGGCCCTGCTGCACCTCCTGCCAGCCCAGCATGGGGCTGGTGCTGTTTCAGCTCCCGTGGATGCTGCCTGATCCCTGCCCTTCCTGGTGCTGCTTCCCTGGGCCTCTCCACCTCTGCAGTGTTCCAGCCTAGCCCTGCCTGGAGCCCTGCTCTCCTCAGGCCCCGTTTCCCCTTCCTGGGCACAGAGTCTCTGCAGAGCAGCCAGGGACTGGGGCATGTGGGAGCCTTCACTGCTCCCCAAAAGGGGCATGCCCCCCAGATTTGTACCAGGTTTCTGGCAGGCAGAGGCCACCCAGGGTATTAAAGCTGCGGTTCAACAGCATCCGTGTGTCTGTCCTGTGTCTGCCCGCCCTGTGGGATGGTGGCTGTGCCCCTGGGGACAGGTTTGGGGGCCAGGGGTGTGTGTGAGGCTGACAGCACTCATGGCTGAGGGCACCCACTTTATTCCGTGTGGCTGCAGCCCTCCTGCCAGGCTGAGCCTGTGCTCCCCCAGGCAGGTTCCCAGCACAGAGCAGCTTTCCCTCGGGAGCAGCAGCCGGAGGCCTGGGATAACTCTGTGCCAGGGGCTGCCCAGTCTCCTGGCACTGCCGGTGGCTCGGTGCAGGGACCCGCTCCTGCCAGCCTAGCTGTCCCCACGCCGGGCGGGGCTCAGGGGCTCTGTGTGGTGGCATGGGCCGTGCGTGCCCGTGGGGTGTCCCGCAGGCGCTGGCTGTGCTCGGCGAGCTCCGCGGCGTCCCGGAGCGCCTCCTGCAGCCGCGCCCGGTGCCGGCGCTCCAGGGCCGCCCGCTGCTCCTCCGCCAGGCGCTGCTGGCCCCGGAGCACCTGCGGCATGCCCGGCCGGTCTGGCACAGCCCTGGCACAGCCGGAAGAGGTGCCCCAGCCCTGCCTGCCCACCTGCAGCAGGTGCTGTCTGCAGGCCTGCATCTCCCGGCGGTGCCAGTGCAGCAGGGCCTCCAGGTGCCACTCGGCCGCCTCCCGCTCCCGCAGCGCTGCCTCCAGGCTCAGGCCCAGCGCGGTCACCTCCCGCTGCCAGCGCTCTGCGTCCCACTGGGGGGACAGGGACACGGTCAGGGCAGCTCCGGGGTGCCCCTGCTCCCTTGGGCTGCCCTGGGAGAGCAGTGCCGGGGAGGAGAGGCTGGAGCAGTGCTGTGCTCACCTCCCCGCGGTGCTCCTGGGCCCGCACAGTGGCGGCCCCCAGCTCTCGCTGGAGCTGCCGGCAGTGCTGAGCCCGCAGCCGCTGCCGCTGCGCCCTGGCCAGGGCCCGCTGCACCTCCGGGGGTGGGCACGGCTGGCACCGGCTCCCTGCCTGGGGAGGGCAGAGGGCTCGGGTGGCACCAGGAGCCAGTGCTGGCAGCAGAGCCGGCCCTGTGGGCTCCCACTCACGCTGTCACACCCGGGCCGTGGCTGTGACACTTTGCTCTGGAATGGCTCCTCCAGCAGCCCCTTCCCTGTGCTGACCAGAGCTTGGCTGTCCCCTTCTTGGCTTCTGCTGTCACCCTGTCCTGCAGCGTGGGGACAGGGGAGGAGGATGAGTGTGACATGAGGGGCTGAAGAAGGACGTTCAGATGGAGAGTGAGGCCTTTCCCACCGTGTAAAGCCATGCTCTGTGCCCACATGTCCTGCACCCAGTTGCGGGACGCATGCCTGGCTCCATGCTCTGGCTCCAGCCTGGCACTGCTCGGGGCTGTCTGGGTCCCAGGCTGCTGGCCTGGAGCTGTATTCCCTGCAGACACCTGGTCCTGTCAGAGAAGGAGATTCAGCTGGGATTCAGGGCTGTTCCTGCACCTGACTGTCCCTGGGTGAGGGGCCTGGCCTGATCTCTGCCCACCTCCGTGCTGGGCTGGTCCATCTCGCTTGTCCCAAGCACCTTGGCCACTGCCTTCTTTTTCTCCCACCTTTGACTCTTCAGCACCTGGAAAAGGGGAACTTATTGGGGTCTTCCAGACCTCCAGGCATGGAATGGTTCCAGGGACACATCTCACCCCTGGGGCAGCTTCAGCCCTGCCCTCAGTGCTGGACAAGGGCCTTGACACCAGGATGGGTCAAGAGCCTGCACCTTACCCAGCCCAGGGAATGAGTGCCATCCCAGTGCCGTGGATCCAGGGGCATTCCCCACCTGCAGCTCCCTCAGGGCTCTCTGCAGCTGGGCCACAGCTCTGCTGTGCTCAGGGCGGCCCGAGCCAGCCAGCAGCTCCGTCCGCAGCGCTCGCATCTCCCTGCGCCGTGCTGCAATCTCCTCCTCGGGCTCCCAGACCGTGGCAGAGATGGTCCTGGCCAGCCCCTTCACCCTCCCAGCCAGTCCCAGAGCTCCCAGGATCTCCTCTCTGGAGGTGTCTGGGAGAACAGCGAGCCCTGGGCAGGGGCCATGGGGGGCCCCAGCACAGGGGGTCCTGGTCTGGTGGGGATGAGTGGAGCTGTGTCCAGCTTCCAATGACTGCAGGTGTCCCCGGGCAGCAGCCAGGCACCGAGTGCCAGCTGTGGGGCAGGATGGGGGGAATCCTCAGGGACGGGGCACCCAGAGTGCGTCCCAGTCCCAGGGGCTACCTGGCAGTGACACACAGAGCAGCAGGAAGGTCAGGCTGTTCCCCTCCAGCAGCCGCTCCACGATCCAGGGCAGGCAGACAGCTCCAGGTTCCCTGCACTCCCTGCACGTGGGGAGAGACACTCCAGGAGAGGGCTGGCTCTTACCGTGCCAGGCAGGCTGAACCCGACCCACAGGGACCCAAGGATGGGCTGGCCCCACACATCCCCTGGCCCATGTCCCCAAGGAGCAGCGACACCCCCTTGGCTCCCACTGGGGTGTCCCTGCTGCTTCACCTCCAGGAATGGAATTCCCTGACCCGGAGCAGAGCTCAGCCCGGTACGTACGGGCTGGGGCAGGGCCTGCTGGCCCCTGGGGACACCAGGATCCGGAGGGCCGAGCGCTGGCGCCTGCCGCCCTGCAGCTCTCGCTCCACGGTGAGGGTGAAGAGGCTGCCGGCCCTGGGAGAGGCCGGTGTGGGAGTGGGGCTGCAGCAGAGCCAGCCCCAGCACCCCATGGCCCACCCTTCCCAGCCTGTGGGATCTGGGCCCAATCCCTCACCCCTGCACAGCTGAGCCCCTGTCTGTGAGGGGCAACAGCGCTGGGATGGCACCCAGCCCCCTGGCATAGGCACTGAGGGCAGCCTGGGCATCGGGCACGGCCACTTCTGTTGCCTCCTCCACCATCCTGGAAGCAGAGGGAGACAAGACCAAGCGAGGAGGGTCACACCGCTGCCCTGGACTCACTGAGGAGCAGCCCGTGCCATGCTGTGCCCGGGCACCATGCTCCCTGCCCAGCCCACTGCTGATGGGGGTACCAGCCCCCAGGAGCCTGCTCAGGTACCTACAGGCCCAGGGGTGCCACATCCATCACCTGCAGGGCTCGGCCGTCGGGACGGAGCAGGTCCCAGGCTTTGTCGTGGCTGCTGACCTGGAATGAGGGGGCTGCACTGGGCAGGGGGCAGGAAAAGGGGCTGCTGGCATCCCACACTCAGCCGGGGCCCAGACTGCACAGGTGAGGGTTGGGAAAGGCTCACTTTGGGGTAACTCCCGGCTTTCCCAGCCCGGGCACCAGGGAAGGGCAGAGCCCTGGGAACGCCCGAGCCCTGTGTGGAGTTTATCAGACCCCTGGCAGCAACCCAGAGCCAAAGGGCAGGACCCAGCCCAGTGGCACAGGCTGGCATCGCTCCTGTGCCACTCAGGGTCACCCTGGAGGGACCTTCAGGCCCAGGGAGCCGTGAGAGGAAAGCCCAGCTGTGATGGGAGCAGGAAGGGGTTAGAGGGTGATCCTGACCCCACCACGCTGCTGGGGCCCAGGAGGTGCTCTGTGGGCAGCTAAGGCTTCCCACATCTGGGAAGTCCTGGAAGGAGGTGAGAACACCTGGGATCCAAAGGTCTCCAGTCCCTGGTCACCCTCTGGATGAGGGGACTGGATGCCAGCACAGGGCAATATGTGCTCTTGGCACAGCCTGGGCAGCAGCTGAGAGGGAATGGGACCCTCATCCCCAGCCATGCTGCCCTGCTCCTGCCCCACCTGGACCAGGCTGACCATCTGCAGGCTCCGTGTGGCGTCCCCCAAGGCCTCCAGCTCCTGGAAGACGGCGTCAATCACCTGTGGACAAGCTGGGAGCTGTGGGTGCCCAGACCCATGGCTGCATCTCAGCCCTGCCCTGCTGGGGCCGGGGTCTGCTGGGTGACCCAGGAGCCCAGCCCTGCACAGTTGTGCTGTCCCCTGTCCCTGCCAGCTGTCCCCTGTGCCCTCACCTGCCAGATGACACTCTGGAAGGGCAGCTGTGTCCCAGGGCCACGGGGGTCCCACAGCAGCAGGGACACACTGTAGCCAAGGGGAACCAGGGCCAGCTGGGGCCTTGCCAACTCCAGCACCTTCTCCTGGCAGGAGAGACAGAGACAGCGTGGCACAGCATGGCACAGCGTGGCACAGCATGGCACAGCATGGCACAGCCAGCATGGCACAGCATGACACAGTGTGGCACAGCCAGCATGGCACCGCATGGCACAGCATGGCACAGCGTGGCACAGCATGGCACAGCATGGCACAGCCAGCATGGTGCAGAGGGCCTGGCCCCTGTGGCTGGGGACAGGGAAGGACTGGGGGCTCTGGGTACCTGTCCTGCATCCAAGTGGAAAATGCCATCGACAGTCAGGGAGCTCTCCTGGTGCAAGGAGGGGATAATGTCCATATAATGTCCATATAATGTCCATATAATGTCCATATAATGTCCATATAATGTTCATTATCAGCTTCCCCTACCCCAGCATGGCCAGGGCAGGGCAAAGGAGGGACTGGGCACGCTGGGATGGAGGTGGCAGGGGTGGCACAGAGGGCCTGGCATGGGCAGGGGTGAGGAGAGAGGAGAGACCCCCCCTCCCTTCCCCTGCTCTGGGGGAGCCCCCAGGAGCCCCTACAAGAGAGGGGCCCACGGGGGTGTAGGGCAGGGTGAGCCCAAGAGCTCAGCTCCACCAGGTGTGTGTCCGGGGTGGCACAGAGCCCTGCTCCCTCCTGGTGCCCCAGGGACCCTCGTGTCCCTGCCCTGCAGCTCTCACCTGGGGCTCCTTCCCAGCCAAGAGGAGCTGGAGGGGGTCCTTGCTGTCCAGCCAGCTTCCTCCTGGCCCTGCAGACACCGAGTGTGGGATGGTGTGGGGGTCACCCCCACCTGTGCCAGCCCTGTCCTGCCCCCCTGCAGCCTGGAGCCACATCCCAGGGCTCCACCTCATTCCTGAGCCCTCCCAGTATGGCTCAGAGCCCCCAGGATGGGGAGGACACCCTGTCCCTGTCAGCACTGCCCGGTGCTTGGTCCCAGTGCCACCACAGCTGTGGCTGCCAGCCTGTCCCCTTGTCCCCTGGTGTTGAGGTGGAGGCTCTGGCGTGCCCCGAGCTCTACCTGCTGCCTGCTGCAGTCCCAGGGCTGCTCGCACGCTGACATCCTGCTCAGCCTGCAGGCACAGAGCGGGGAGCAGGCAGGAGGAGCTGCAGGAGCCCCCAGGGGCTGGGCAGCCCTGACAGACCCCAGCCCGGGCTGTCCCCAGCACAGCACTCACCTGCTCCATGGGCAGCGCCCCTGAGCTGCTGTGCCAGGGCAGGGATGGCGTTACCGGGGGGATCCGGTTCTCCTGCATTATTGATGGGTGTGGGCAGGGCCAGGGCCAGCCCGGGGCACCCTGTTGGGGGGCTGAGCCCTGCTGGAGGGGAGCCAGCACGGCCACAGCGGTGCCTGGGGCCACTCACAGCGCCGGGGTGCTCCCAGCTGCAAGAGGGACAGCTCAGCCGTGGCTGGGAGGTGAGGGAGCCTGGACTGCCACGCAGGGTGTCACGAGTGAGCACAAAGCACAGAATCTCTGCAGAGCAGTCCCAGCAAGAGAGCACGGAAGGAAAAGCCCGTGCTGGGGATCCCCAGTGTCCGTGGAAGTGCAGATGGGGAGTGCCAGGAGAGAGTGCCAGGGCAGCCCCTGCCCTGCTGCGGGCAGCACCAGGGGGAGCAGATGCACCCGTGTGCCCCTGCCTGCCTGTTCCCTGTGCAGAGGGAGACCAGTGCCCCTGAACCCCAAACTCCCTCCCCTGTGCCTCAGGTGTGAGCCTGATGCCAGCTGGACAGGATGGAGCACTGGGGCTCCATCAGCAGCAGCAGGGCACATGGCAGGGACAGCAGGGACACGCTGGGGCTCGGGAAAACCCCTGGGCAGGGTGGAGCCCTGGCACAGAGCAGGGCACGGGGCTGTGAGGGGCTCCCCTGCACTCGGCTGGGCAAAGCCACGGTGGGATAATGCTGGGGGAGAGCCCGAATGGGGACTCCAGGAGCACTTGGGGGTCCTGTGAGCCTTCCCAGGGAGCCCCTGGTGGGAAGGGGCACACACCCCCCTCCTGCTCTGTGCTCTGTCCCTGACCAGGCAGATGGCCCCGTGCGGGTGCTCCCAAGGCATAGCAAAGCTTGGGATTCAGGAGACAGGGGTTTATGTCTCCTTCCTCATCCACCAGCAGCAGCTGCTCCCTGTTCCACGTCCAGCCAGGCCAGGGGCACCCTGTTGTGGCCCCTGGTCAACACCAGCAGAGCCTTCACCAGCCCCTGAGGCAGCAGCCCCCTCCCTGAGCCCAGGGCACAGCCCCATCCTCCTCTCAGCAGCAGCTGCTCCCTGTTCCAGTCCAGCCAGGCCAGGGACAGCCTGTTGTGGCCCCTGGTCAACACCAGCAGAGTCTTCACCAGCCCCTGAGGCAGCAGCCCCCTCCCTGAGCCCAGGGCACAGCCCCATCCTCCTCGGGCTGCCCAGGGCTGCTGGCACAGCCCCAAGCCCCCCGACCCGGGCAGGGCACACCCTGGACACGAGCACACCCCCAGTCCCCCCCGACCCTGGACCCCACACCCTGTTCAGCAGCTCCAGCCCCAGCCCTGGTCCTTCCCCACGCCCAGGCAGCCCAGGCTGTGTTTGCCCACAGGTCATGTGTGCCTGTGCCCAAACAGAGACAGGGAGGGACACGGGAACACCCAGGCACAGCCTTTCATGCAGGGGCAGGACACGCCCTGGAAGAAGAGCAGGGCTTGGCCAGGGGAGCACTGCCTGCCTGCCACCAGCCCCTGCTTGTCACAAGGACACAGTGACAGGACAGGGGGAATGGCTTCACACTGCCAGAGGCAGGGGCAGATGGGATGTTGGAGAGAAATTCTTCCTTGGGAGGGTGGTGAGGCCCTGGCACAGGGTGCCCAGAGCAGCTGTGGCTGCCCCTGGATCCCTGGCAGTGCCCAAGGCCAGGCTGGACAGGGCTTGGAGCAGCCTGGGATGGTGGGAGGTGTCCCTGCCCAGGGCAGGGGTGGGATGTGATGAGCTTTAAGGTCCCTTTCACTGAAACTGCCCTGTGATTCTATGATTCTCCCCCAGCCCCATTTTCCCAAGTCTGTCCCTTCCCCACCGTCCCCTTTCCTTTGAATATTCCCCAGTCCTGCATCCCATAATCCATTTTCTCCTTACTGTGATATATTCTCTGAATAACCCAGAAAAAATGAATTTTCTTCTTATCACTTAAAAAGTTTCTGGTTGAACCTCCCCAGGGTCCCGCTTGGACCCATCCACCAGAGCCTCAGGTCAGGGTGCAAGGAGCTGCTCCAGCTCGTTAGCACTTGTGTGCAGGGTGTTTAATTTAGGCATTTTCCTGTTTTTCAGGGGTTTTTGGTTTTTCTCTTAGGCTGAAGAGCAGCCAAGCAGCATCCTGCCAGCCCTGACATCCTGGCCCAGCCAGAGTCTGGGGTGAGGAGAGGGATGATCATCCGTGGAGGCTCCAAGGATGCCTGGACTGCAGGGGCTGAAAGGTGTGGGGGGCTCTGGGCAGGGACCAGCAGAGCCCTGCAAGGCTGGGGACATCTGAGTGCTGCCAGTGGGATCTGAGCTCCTCCTGTCCAGGGAGGTGACATGGCAGGGACAGCGGGGCGTGCTGGGCTTGGGGACCAGCAGGGACATCCCCAGTGGGAGGCTGTGGCTGTGGGTCAGAGCAGGGCACAGGGCTGGAGGTGAGGGGTGCCCAGGGCCCAGCTGGGCACAGTCCTGTGGAAATCACACATCCTCTGAGCAGAGACAGACATAGCTCTCCCAGGATGTTCCTGGGAAAACTCAGAGAGAAGAATGAGAAACAACTCTCATCTCCACTTGCTGCACCTGTTGTTGCGCACGTGTGGAATGTGCTATGGAGATTGTTTTACCAAAAGATGATTTTTTAATTGGCCACTGGTGATGATGTTAGATTAATTGACCAATTAGGTCAAAGCTGTGTGTGACTGCAAGGGCGATGGGTTTTTTCTTATTAGTACAGTACAATATAGTAGAATAAAGTGATTGATCAGCCTTCTGCAATCATGGAGTCAATCAATGCTCATTATTCCCCATCCAGGGCTCACTGCTAGGGCACAGGCACAGCAGGAAAACCCTGTGGAGAGCCCTGCTCCAGCAGGGAGCCCCTCTGGGCACAGCGAGAGCCCCTCAGCAGCACGGGGAGCCGAGAGCCTGCCAGGGCAGGGCGCCAGTGCCCCTCAGGCTCTGTGGCACACTCTGCTCCTGGCCAGGCACACAGCCCCAGCCACAGCCAGCAGGGCCAGGGCCACGCAGAGCGGGGCCACCACGGCGGCGAGGTCACAGCGCAGCACGGACACGGGCACCTGTGCCACCTGCCAGCCCTGGTACCGCGCCGGGGAGTGGCACCTGTAGCCCCCGGGCCAGCCCTGCCCCAGGTGCCCCGTGGCTGCCAGCGCCTGCAGCCCCCCGGCCCCCGAGCAGGAGCAGCTGAAGGGGTTGCCAGCCACAGCCACGTCCTGCAGGCGCCCCAGCAGCTTCACCTCGTCCCTGGGCAGCTCCCAGATGGAGTTGTTGTCCAGGTGGAGGGTGTCCAGCACGGGGTAATTCCTGATGGAGGGCACGGCCTGCAGCAGGTTTTGATTCAGGAAGAGCTTCTTCATGGAGCTGAGGGAGATGTCCACAGCGTGGAGGTGGTTGTGGCTCATGTCCAGCACCTCGAGGCGGGGGGGCAGCGGTGCTGGCACTTCCTCCAGGCCCGTGCTGGACAGGTTGAAGTGCCAGAGGGATGGTGGCCACCGGCAGGAGGAGGATGGGCCTGCCACGAGCTCGTTGTGGCTGAGATCCAGGTGCTGGAGCTCCGTCAGCAGCCCCAGGCCCTGGCACACGCCGTGGTAGGAGCTCAGGTTGTTGTGGCGCAGACTCAGCTGCTGGAGCTGAGGGAAGGCTCCCTGGCAGAAGGCGGGGCTCAGGCTCCCGTCCCCGAGGCTGTTGTGTGCCAGGCTCAGGGAGCGCAGGGCTCTGAACAGCCTCCCCACGGCACAGGGCAGGCTGGTGACACCGGAGCCGGTGACAGCCAGCTCCTGCAGGCTCTCCAGCCACCTGCTCAGGCTGGAGAAGGCCTGCTCACGGCCCGTCAGCGGGGCTGAGGTCACGTTGTGGAAGCTCAGAGACAGGATGGGCAAGTTCTGCCCATCCATGTCACTCCAATCGCCTGTGCCCTGGAAAATGCAGCTCTCAAAGGCCAGCTCCTGCACGTGGGTGTAGGAGAAGAACCTCAGCACACGGGCGAGGAGCATCTCGGGCACCAGGACATTTCCAATAATTATTTTCTGGATGATAAGGGAGCCCAGAGTGTCAATGACGGAGTCGTCCAGGTCCCTGATGGGCAAGGCTGCGTATTTCTCCAGGTCTCCACCCCAGAACTCCACGGTGGTTGCTGGGAGGCACTGGATGATGCTGCCAGCAGTCTCCTCGGACAGGTTGTAGCACACACAGAACTCCTGAGTGCGGTTGAAGAAACATCTGTTCCTCCTGCCCTCTGCCACCTGCAGCCCCAGCCCCAGGAGCAGGAGCACAGCCACACTCATGGTGAACAACCTAAAAACTGGGGGAGAAAGAATGGCACCTGAGGGACCACCCTGACCCAGCCTGGAGGGATGGCTTGGGCAGGCTGAGCCCTGCAGAGCCACCCCTCGGGGACAGGGCGCTGCCCTGGTCCCTCCTGCAGCCTCCTGAGCCGTGCTCGGGCCAGCAGCCAAAGGCGCAGGAGCTGCACCTGTGCCCCCCTGCCCGCAGCAGGGACTCTCCCGAGTCTGCACTGTCCTGCCCGGGCTGCCTTGCCGCAGGCTCCCGCCCCTGAGCGAGCAGGAAACGCCTGGAGAAACCACAAACGCGGAGTTACAGACAGCGAAGCCAGATGTACCAGTGTGACCAGGGAGAGAGCCCCAGCTCTGCTTGTTCCTCTGTAATCTGGGGCAGGAAATTGCAACAGACGGCTTCATGCTTTCTCCTTCCTCACCCGGCATTTGATTCACCACCGGCCCCCCGAGGGGTGGTGGAAAATGAGCCCTGAAGGTGTGAACACATCCCTGTCTGCGCCAGGAGCCGGTCAGCTGACGGAGCCTGATCTCTCACCACCAGATTGCAAAGGAAGCAGCAAGCAAAGATTAAAGACTCCTAAAGATGTGCTGACCCAGCTCACAGGGGGTCTTTGGGGGTCCCCAGCCCAGCTCCTGCTCCGAGCGGTTCTGTCGCTGGCACGGGCCCTGGCCAGGCACAGCTTTCCCCGGCCGCATCCCAAAGCCCCCCCGGGACGGAGCTCTCCCTACCTGCCCGTGCCGCGGAGCCGCAGTGCCCCGGCCCCGCAGGGCAGCAGCTCGGTGCCGTTGTGCCGTGACTCACCCGTGTCTCACCCCGATCGCTTCCTTGCTGGCTCCTTCCTCCAGCTGCGGCCAAACCTCTGAGCGGAGCTGCCAAGGGCTCCGAGCGCTCGGCTCAGCCCGTCCGGCCCCGCTGCTGCTGCGCTGCGCCGGAGCTCCAGCTGTGCCCCAGCTGTGTCCAGCCGTGCTCCAGCTGTGTTCAGCCGTGTTCCAGCCGTGTTCCAGCTGTGTTCCAGCCGTGCTCTAGGTGTGTCCAGTCGTGCTCTAGCTGTGTTCAACCGTGTTCCAGCCGTGTTCCAGCTGTGCTCCAGCCGTGTTCCAGCCGTGCTCCAGCTGTGTTCAGACGTGTTCCAGCTGTGCTCTAGCTGTGTTCCAGCAGTGCTCTAGCTGTGCTCTAGCTGTGTTCCAGCTGTGCTCCAGCCGTGTTCCAGCTGTGCTCCAGCCGTGTTCCAGTCGTGCTCTAGCTGTGTTCAACCGTGTTCCAGCCGTGTTCCAGCCGTGCTCTAGCTGTGTTCCAGCTGTGCTCTAGCTGTGCTCCAGCTGTGTTCAACCGTGCTCCAGCCGTGTTCCAGCCGTGTTCCAGCTGTGCTCCAGCTGTGTCCGGCTGCCCGGGCCGGGTGCCCATGCCCGGGGCTGGGCAGACCCCTCGAGCGGCTCCCGGGCACAGCCCTCGCTCCCAGCGTGACTTCCTGAGCAGCTCGGAGCCCCCCGAGCCACTTCTGCTTCGCTTCCCCGCGGCTGCGGGCTGGGAAAGGCTGCGGTGCAGCGCCAGAGCCGCTGGCTTTCCTAGGAAGGTGAGGGAACAGAGCAGGGGCAAGGCTCCCCAAATGCACCTTTGGGACGTGGCGATCAAAGGTTGGGCTTGATGATCCTGGAGATCTTTTCCAGCCTAAAAGGTTCTGTGCTTCTATGATCTGTCAGGAATTTTTTTCTCAGAGATTTCTTGCCTATGTTGGGTTCAGAAAAGTAATGAGATGTTGGAATTTCAGGCTCTTTCCTTCTCCTAGGTCAGGGCAAATAAAACTCAGGAGACATTGTTTTTGAAATCTCACTCTGAAGTTTATTATCCTTATCTATTACAAACTTATGAGATGTGAGCTCTCTCTAACAAGTTGAGAAAGTGAGCTAAAATGGTGTCTCTTCAAGGCTATTTAAGTCCCAATTACCCAATAAACAGCTGACATCTATATTATTTATGCTTTTAATCCAATTATGATCACTGCAATGTGGACATCCTTCACCCAATTAGAGAAAACCACCCAGATTCATGAAGAAGGAAGAAGGTGCAAAAAAGACAGCTAACCCACACCCAAAATTCCCCATCTTGGCTCCCATACATCACCATATACTAAAATCCCAAATCTAAGTTTTTTCACCCTGTGAGATCACACTTCTAACCAATGACACAACTGTAATCCAAGTGCTTTAATCCATTTTGGAAGCCTTCTCCACAGCCCCGGGTCACATGCAGTGTTCTCCTGAGGGTCTGTGCCTTTCAGCACAGAAAGTTTAAAGTTCTCAGCATGCAGGGTTCCAGCAATTAAACTGCAGGGCTGGACAGTGCAGCTCCGTTTGTTGTAGTTAATGTGGCATTGCACACTGGAGCCACAGCAGCTGGGCTGGGTCCCTTGGTCTCTGGGGCTCTTGTGCAGAGGCTCTAAGCAATTCCATGATTCCTCTTTACCTCCTTGGCTTACAGGAAATTGCTCAGGACAGAAGGACATGGAGCTGCTGCAGCAAGTGCAGAGGAGAGCCCAGGAACGCTCCAAGGGCTGGGCACAGCAGCTGCTGTGTGGGCAGGCTGGGCGATGGGGCTCTGCAGCCGGGAGCAGGCTCAGGGCAGAGCTCAGAGCCCCTGCCAGAGCCGAAAGGGGCTCCAGGAGAGGCACCCGGGACAAGGGATGGAGTGACAGGACACAGGGAATGGCTCCCACTGCCAGAGGCAGGGTTAGACGGATATTGGGAAGGAATTCTTCCTGTGAGGGTTACCTGAACAGGTGTGGCTGCCCCTGGACCGCTGGCAGTGCCCAGGGCCAGGCTGGACAGGGCTTGGAGCACCTGGGATGGTGGAAGGTGTCCCTGCCCGTCTGGAGGGGTTGGAACTGGGTGAGCTTTAAGGTCTCTTCTACCCCAAAGGGTCTGGAATTCCACGAAACTGCTGCTGAGCGATGATGGAAAAGTCACAGCTGAGCTGTGAGCTCCCCTCCCGGCCCCTTCCGACGAGCCGGGCCCGGTGCCTTCGGTTTCTGCCCTCCAGCGGCAAATTCCCGAGCACCTCGCTGGGGAAGCACGGGCTGCTCTGCCCCTCGGTGCCCGCAACCCGCCGGAAGGTCCCTGGGCACGGAGCCGCCTCGCTCCGCATTTCTGGCGAATATCGGGGGGCTTTTTTTGCCCTCAGCACGGCCGCGCCCCGGCCCACCCCTGAGGGGCACGGCCACGGCCACGGCCCACCGACCCCTGAGGGGCACAGCCGCCCGTGCTCTGGGCGGGCGGGACGCTCCGGAGGCGGAGAGGGCCGGGACCGTGTTTTCCCCGCCCCGGGACCGCCCCAGGACGGCCTTTTCCTCCTCCTGCTCCTCCTGCTCCTCCTGGTGCCGCTCCCCCGCTCCGCCATGTGGGGCCGGCGGCGGGCCCGGCGCGGCGGGCACAGCGCGGAGGAGCTGCGGGTGCGGCGGCGGGAGCGAGAGGCAGGTCCGGCCGGGCACAGCGGGCACAGCCGGGGCTGTGCGGGGTCCCCGGGGGTGGGAGGGACCCCCCCAGCTCGGCCCTTGCCGTCTCCATCCCCGCCCGGCCCGGCCGCGCCCCGCGGGATGCGCCGCTGCCCGCTCGGGGAAGCGTTTTACAGCTTCAGATTTTAACCCTTGCAGCTTCAGCTTTCAACCCTTGGGGTTTCTGCCACGAGTTCCCCCTTTCTTCCACTTTCCCCCCACTGTTCGGGTTTTCCAAGGTCTCGCCTCGGTTTTAGCCTGGAGGAAAGGAGGCTCAGGGGCCCTTGTGGCTCTGCACAGCTCCTGACAGGAGGGCACAGCCGGGGGGTCGGGCTGTGCTCCAGGGAACAGGGACAGGAGAGAGGGAACGGCCTCAGGCTGTGCCGGGGAGGTTTAGGTTGGATATTGAGGAAAATTTCTTCATCAGAAGGGTGGTCAGGCATTGGAACAGGTGGAGTCACCATTCCTGGAGGTGTTTTCCAAACAAGTAGATGGGGCACTTGAGGCATGGCTTACTGGCCATGGTGGTGTTCAATTGAAGGCTGGAGTTGATGATCCTGCACATATTTTCCACCTTTAATGATTTTCTGATCCTGTGTGAAATCCAGCCTCAAGTCCTGTGTTCCTGCCCCTTATCCCAGCAGTGGCTTCACACTTTGTGTGCCCAACCCTCAGCCCAGCTCCAAGCAGTCCCTGCTGGTGCATCCCTTCCAGGCTTGCACAGGGAGGAATGGGCAGTTCCTCCCTGCATTAAGGGAGGAGTGAGGCTCCTGGCTGGGCTGGAGGAGCGTCCTGGCCGGGCAGGTGGTGGCACCTGACACTTGTGCTCCTGCAGCTCTGAGGAAGGCCCGGCGGCAGGAGCAGCTGGTCAGCAAGCGGCTGCTGCGGGAGGACAGCGCGGCCGAGGAGGGGGCACAGCACGGAGCAGACGTCGTGCCAGACCCACTCCCAGAGGATGAGGTGAAGAACCTGATATTCTCGTGGCAGTGGGGTCCCGGGGGTCTTCCCCAGACTCAGCATGTGAAGGAGGCTGGGCAGGGCTGGCTTTGGGAATGGTTCTGGTTCACTGCCAGGCACAGTTAAGGCTCCTTGTGCCCACCTTTGTGCCCTGGGCTCCTTTGCCTTGAGGATTAATTAGTTAATCTTTATTAATTAAGATTAATAAATTTTAATGCTGGTAGTGCTGAAAGTTCAGCCACCTCTGAATTCCCTGGCCAGGTTCTGGAGCTGCTCAGGGGTGTGCAGAGGGGTTCTGAGGACAGGAAGCGATGGCTCGGCCGCCTCCGCTGGGCTCTGCAGAACGAGGAGACTCAGCAGAAGTTTGTCAGGTCAGCCCAGGCCTGCTGTGCCGTCACCAGGGTCATGTCCTGAGGGCCCTGTGTCCCTGTGCTTGGGTGGGCAAGCTGGGGGTTGACAGCAGCCTTTGGGTCCCCAGGCTGGACGGCAGCATCCGGACGCTCACCGGGCTCTTCACCAGCAGCCTGGCTGACCTGCAGCTGGAGGCTGCCCGCTGTCTGCACGAGCTGTCCCACTCCAGTGTCCCTGCCGTGGCCGAGGCGTGCCTGCCTGTCACCTCCTACCTGCTCACCTACCTGTCGGGACACAGCCTGGAGCTCACGGTGAGATCCCTGTGCACCTGGGAATCCTTTGGTGTGGTTGGTGTTCACCTCTTCTGGTCACACGTGGCTCACGTGGGAGTGCTGCTGAGGAGGGGCCCTCTGGAAGCAAAACTCTTTGGCATCACAGCCTCACCCTCAGAGCAGGACTGTTCCCAGTGCCCAGGTGTAACAGCCTGCCCTGAGCTGGGGTAGCTGAGTTCTTGTCCATCACAGATCCCTTGGGTTGCATTAGAGTGGAACCACACTGAGTCACCCATGTTTATGTACATATGTATCTGTGTGTATATATATATATGGTAAGTTTATTTTAGAACAATTTGCAATAGAAGGGAGGTATGTAACCATTTTGGTTGTTATCTATAGAAATGACACAATATAAAAGTACAAAGATGTCACTTAAGAAAATGTATAAGGGAAAGAAAGAAAGGATAAGAGTAGATAGAGTGCCTGTGGCTGCATGCCTTGCAGCTTGATCTGGGAAGGAGCAAACAGCTGGAGTAGCTCTGGGCTGCCCACGTGTTTTCCAGCTGCTCCATGGGGAAGCAGACAGGCTCAGAGCCAAGGAGCAAGGTGGGCAGTGACCCCGCTGCTGATCCCATTTGAGTGCAGCACACAGGCAAGCTCCAGGAGAACCAGAGGGGGCTCAGGGAAATGTCATCCTGAAAAACCTCCAAAGTGGCAGTGATCAGATCCCAGCTTCAGCCAGACAGAAAAAGAATGAACTGAAGCTGATTGAGCTGGGAGTGGGGTGGCTGGAGAGTGCAGCAGCATCCATCTGTGTTTGCCCCTCCAAGGGCAGCTCCTGCCCCGCTCAGGGCAGCGTGTGGGACCTGGGGCTGTGCTGGCTGCCCACGGGGTCACCTCCTGCTCTGCTCTCTTGTTGCAGGAGCTGTGTTTGTACACACTGGGGAACCTTGTAGTAGAAAGTGAGGCTGTGAGGAAGCAACTGCTGCCTCAGGGCATTATTCCAGTGCTGGCATCCTGCATCCAGGTGGGTGAAACAGCTCAGTCACATTTCTGCTATGCCCTGGAGAGCCTTTCTGGCTGACAGCTCTGAGTCACCAGCCCTCCTTCTAGCTGTGGGGAAACTGCAGGGAGCTGTTCCCACGGGCATGGGGGTCACTTGTGGGCTCCCTGTGCTCATTCTCAGGGCTCAGCTCAGCACCTTGTGCTCTTCTCCAGCTGAATCCCCCCATCCAGTGGCTGCCTGGTACATTCTGTAGCACAGGGAGCCCTGTCCCCTCTGCCTGGCCTGGTCCAGCAGGGCTGTGGTTTGCAGGTCCACATGCTCACACCAGGACTTTTGCTGTGTTTGGGCGAAGGCCAGTGAATGTGGGGAGGGGACAGCTCAGCTCTGGTGTGGCCACAGGTTCCTGTGTCCCTCCTGGTCCCCTGTGTGCCCCCTGTTCTCCAAGCACAGCTGGGTTTGGTTGGCACCCTGGGCCCTGGCTCTGCCAGGAGGGATCAGCTCTGCCAGCAGGGATCAGCTCTGTTCTCTTTGGTTGCAGTCCCCTCACGAGGCAGTGCTGGAAGGTGTGGGCTATGTCCTCTCACAGCTCCTCCAAGCCAAGGAAGCACCCAGAGAGATCATCCCGTGAGTCTGAGCCCCTGAACCCTGCACCAGGCCGGGCCCTGGGGCTCCAGGGGTGTTTGTGTGCTGGGGACACGAGGCCTTCCCCATCCCAGTGACATTAATAGCTCAGGGCACAATCCTACCAGAACTGCAAGTTTTGATGCAGATCAGGGAGCAGGGCTTGGCTCCTTTCCCTCAGCCTCATCTGAGCAGGCAGCTCTGGTATTTCAGTAAAGGCCAGCATGGAGCAGGGAAGGCTTGCAGGGAAACCTGGCTGTGTTCCTCTTGCAGAGGAAAAGATCAGCTTGACAGCCCCCAGTGTCAAAAATGTGACCGCAGTCAGAGTGTCCTGAGTGTCCCCGGGCCCTGCCATGGACAGGGAGAGCCCAGGGCTGCAAGCCCTTGGCTCAGAGTCCCTTCCAGGTGTGTGTTTGGAGCCTGTGGCCCCCAGGGTCGGGTAGAGCAGCTCCCTGCTCAGGGTTTGTGTCTCCTGTTGGTGTCCTGCCTGTGCTCCAGCCCGTGCCTCCATTAACTCTGCTCTCTGCCCCCAGGCTGGTCCTGGATTCTGCTCTCCCCCAGCACATGCTCCAGCTGGTCTGCTCTGGCCTCAAGGCTGGCATGGGAGCAGCTGTGGAGTTTGCCTGGTGTCTCCACTACATCATTTGTGGGTAAATGCAGTTTTCTCCTCGTTTTGAGTTCCCTGGGGGCAGCCAAACAGAGGCATGAAGGCTCATGGTCCTGTGAGGGGATCTGGATTGCCTCCCCTCTTCCCTTGGGAAAGCAATTCCCCAGCCAGCCTGGATGTCCCAGCTCTCCTCTCTGAGCACATGTGCTGTTTGCAGGATCACTGAGCTCTTTTACAGGGTGGTAAAGGGGTTGAACCTGAGGAGGCTGTTTCTAGTTCTCTGAATTGCTCCCAAATGGCTTCCCCATGCCTGGAGCTGTCCCCCACCCTTCCCAAGACAAGCTCCCTGAATCCTCACACTTGTGGGGTTGGCCCAGGGCCAGCAATCCCTGCCTGCCACTGGAGCCAGGGAATCGGTAGATACTCAAGGGTCAGGGCTGTTGTTCCCAGACCCACACAGATAATTCCAGTGAATCTGGTTTTCACGGGCTTTTAAATTTTCTCATAAGCTCAGAAAAAACCCTGCTATTCCAATGCAAAAGAAGTGACTGTTCCAACATGAAGTAAGCCCTGTGGTGGTTCAGGAGAGCACTCTGAATTCCCAGGCCCTGTTTGGTGAGGGGATGTGGCAGTGTCCCCTCTCCAGGCTCCAAGGCCACTACACTGTCCCTCCCTCTGCAGGCACAAGGACAACGTGCAGCTGCTGGCGCTGGGGGCCGTGCCCGCGCTCACCTCGCTCCTGCTCGACCTGGCTTCCCAACTCCCCCAGGACGCTCCCGAGGGCCTGGAGCTGGTGAGAGGTGGGCAGGGTGCTGGCTGTTGTCAGCATTGCTGCGGGCACACTGCTCAGCCTAAGGCGCTGCTGTGTGCCCGTGTCCCAGCTCGTGTGCCCCGTGCTGCGCTGTCTCGGTAACCTGCTGGCACAGGCAGGCTGCCAGCGCCCGGACGCGCGCCTGCTCGTCGCCCTCTTCCTCATCCTGCAGTGCTTCCTGCAGCAGCACCCCTTCCTGGTGCAGGAGTGCCTGTGGCTGCTCAACAACCTCACGGGTCAGTGTCCCACGGGCAGTGGCACAGCTGGGCGCTGCTGGCACCCGCCCTGGTTTTAGTCACACATTCCTTCTCTGTACACCCAGCGGATGATCCCTTCCTCTGCTCCGCTCTGCTGTCCCTGGAGCTGCTGCCGGCCCTGCTGCAGCTGCTGACGTGGTCCCAGATGGGCACTGTGCTGGTGAGCCTTGCCCCAGGCACTGGGAGTGGGGGGGAGCGCTGGAGTTTCAGGAACACGAATCCCACAGTGACAGTGCTGGAGTTGGGGGTGGATGGGGCAGCAGTGACAGCTTGGCAGAAGGTCTTGTGTGGTGGCAGTCACCAGCCACCTCCCCTGAAGCCACTCCAGCTGTATGTGCCCTTGGCAGAGCCTTGGGTGGTCCCCAGGGAGATGTTAGCTTGGGGCCAGCCTCGGAGCAGGCCTGGAAGGTTCCTGCCTTTGCTTTGAAAGACCCCAAAGCTTTGGGAGACTGGGGATGCTGCCAGGAGTGGGTGGCAAGGCTGGGCCTGCCTGGCATGGGGATGAACACTGCCTTGGGGTGGGTGTGGAGAAGGCTTTCCAAATCCAGTGGTTTGGTGGGCACTGGGCTGTGGGCAAGCACCTGGCAGGCCAAGAAAAAAGGTGGAGAGGGGCTTCAGGCAAGGGCATGAGTGACAAACCAACAGGGAATGGTTTCACACTGAGAGGGCAGGGTTAGATGGGGTATTGGGAAGAACTCTTTCCCGTTAGAGTGGTGAGGCCCTGGCACAGGTTGCTAGAGAAGGGATGAGGCTTGGAGCAACGTGGGATAGTGGAAGGTGTCCCTGGCCATGGCAGGGGTTGGACTGGATGAGCTTTAAGTCCCTTGTAACCCACACCATTCCACAACTCCATGACAATGGAAGTGGTTGGCAGCCCTCCCAAGCCTGTCAGGAATGTGCCCATGGAGCATTCACTGCTCACTGCTGTCCCTCCCACAGGTCCTGACTGTGCTGTGCAACATGGCAGAGAAGGGACAGTTGCAGTGCCAGGGGCTGCTCCAGCAGCCCCTCCTGGCCCAGCTCCTGCCCCTGCTCACCCTGCCCGACCCCGAGGCCGTGGGGCAGTGCCTGGAGCTGCTGCACCTCCTCTTCCTGCACTGCCCAGAGGTGAGAGCTCAGGGGGCAGGACTGTAAGGGGGTGGGGAATGATTACTGTGGGGTTGTTGTTGTTGTGGAGGGGGATTATTGTAATGTGAGTCACAGTGCCCTCAGCGGCTGCCACGCTGCCCTCCAGCCCTCAGCACCCAGGCCCTGCCCAAAGAGACACTGTGATGCACGGGGTGGCTGGAAACCCCTCTTGTGTCTGCAGAGCTCCTTCCTTATTGCCAAGGACTGGTGTTGGGGCAGGCTGGTTCTACCTCAAGTCTTCTTTTGCTCCTGCTGAGGTTGCTGTGCTTGCTGCAGGTCACAGGAAAGAATTCTCTGTGAGGTGTTGAGGCCCTGGCACAGGGTGCCCAGAGCAGCTGTGGCTGCCCCATCCCTGGGTGCCCAAGGCCAGGCAGGATGAGGCTTGGAGCACCTGCTGGAAGGGGTCCCTGCCCATGGCAGGGAAATCAGATGGGCTTTAAAGCCCTTCCCAGGCAACCAGCAGCATGGTGGGATTTACCTGGATTGGGAATGCAGCTCTGGGGAATTCCTTCAGCCCTGTTCCCTGGGCTGTGGTGGCTTGGGCAGAGATGATCAGCTGTAGCTCTGCCAGCTCTCACCCTCTCCTCTCACACAGGCTGCTGCTGATTTCACCAGGCAAGGCGGGCACCAGGCCCTGGAGCAGCACCAGAGCACCCCAGAGCTGCAGGAGCGGGCACAGGCTCTGCTGGACATGGTCAGGCAGCCCCCAGGAGCCCCCAGTGCCTGCCAGGCCACACTGGCTGCCTCCTCCTCGGCCCTGCCCTGAACTGCCAGGGAGGAATGAACTGTTCACCCCATGCCCAGCTCCCGAGGGCTGCTCAGGGCTCTGATGTGCCCGGTGCTGGCTGCATGGGGGGCTGGTCCTTGTCACCAGCTGGCAGCCACCAGCCCAGTGCCCCCCAGAGCCCGGAGCAGGGGCAGAGCTGAGCTGCAGATTCTCCTGTCCAGGGAGGGCTGAACGGCTGCATCAGCCATCCCTTGGGCTCTCAGCCACCACCACGCTCAAGGTAAGCACATTGTGTTTATGAACTGATAAATTAAAGATACATCTTTGCCATTAGAGATAATCAGTCGAGTCTCCAGTACGAGTGTGCTTCCTGCCTGTCATGCACGGCCTTTCACAACGCTCTCCAGGGCCTTGCCCACTTCATCCACGCTTAGGTTGTTCAGTGGGATGCTCTTCTCCTTCCCAAACTCTGTGGGAAAACAGGCAGGGTGAGAAGGGGGCAGGTGTGTGGGTCCTTTCTTGGTGCAAGGCACTGATGTCACAGGCCAGGCTCCCATCACCAAATCCCAGTGTTCCTCCACGTGCCCAAGCTACCATTTCCACCTTCTTATTCTCCTACTTTCCCTTGGAAAGAACTCAAAGCAGCTCAATCCCTTTCCCAGTCTCCCTCTGTTAGCACTGGCTGGGCAGAGACACGTCCAAGAGCAACCCTGTGGCCTTCAGCCTCATCCCAGCAAGGTGCTCCCCTCAGGAAAGCAGCCTGGAAACTGTTCCTGCAGCTGCTCCCACTGGGCTGAGCCCAGGCTCCACCTCCCTGCCAGTCCCACCCAGACACACGAGCCTCCCCTGGTCTGTCTGCTCACACTGGGAAACCTGTGCTAAAAGAGTCATTGCATCTTTTCAACGGGTTCTAAATTAATTTTTTCCAGCCCAGATGACCTTTGAGGAAAACAAATCCTTTCCAGAGGAGCTTTTCTGCTCCCTTCTTGGTGTTTCACTGAGAAGGCAGTGAAAATAAAGGAGGAACGTTTGTGTAGTGACTGGGGTGGGAGATGACCCAGAGGCTGGGAGGCCCTGCTGAGCCCTGGGCCCTACTCTGCTTCCCCCGGGCCCCCTCCCTGACGTGACCCCGCAGCCTGGCCTGAGGCAGCTGCTCCCTCTGCACCACGGCCCCTCCCGGAGCTGCAATCCCCCCTGGAGCGGGGCAGGCCCCTCCCGGAGCTGCAATCCCCCCCGGAGCTGCAATCCCCCCCAGAGCGGGGCAGGCCCGGCCCGGCCGCCCGGAGCCGCTGCGGCTGCCGCAGCCCTGTGGCGGCCGGGTCCCCTGGAAGGTGTCCCTGCCATGGCAGGAGGTGGCAGCGCAGCTTTACAATCACTTCCACCCCCCGCAGCCTGCCTGTCCCCATCCCCGCTCCCCGTGCCGCCCTTGCCGCACGCACCGCTCCCTCCCCTCAGTGCGGACGGGCCCTGCAGTCCCTTCCAACCCCAACCATTCCCGGATAATTCCCTGGTGCTTCCCCTACTTACCGTACCGAGCCCAGAGCTTGGGCTGGATACCGGAGCACTCGCGGATCAGGATGGGGAAGTCGGGATTTGCCTTCTTCAGGGTCACATAGTGCTGCTCGATGAACTCCCTGCGGAGGGAAGGAGGAGCGGCGGCTCCCTGTGGCTCAGCCCTGGGGGAGCAGCCCCGGCCCCGTCCCGGCCCATCCCCGCGCTGACCTGACGCCGCGGCTGCTGGCGGAGCGCTGGCACAGGTGGATGCGGAGCTCCCTCAGCGCCTGGCCCAGCCCGCCCCCGATGCTCTTCACAGCGGCCGCCGCCATCTTCCCTGCCCGCACAGCAGCGGGGGCGGGAGCGCGGCGCCTCCGCCAATCGCAGCGCCCGCTGTGGCCCGTCCGCCAATGAGAGCGCCAGCCGTGATCTCACCCGCCAATGGGAGCGCCGGCCGTGATCGCACCCGCCAATGGGAGCGCCCGCCGCGGGGTGCGCTGGGAGGGCCGCGCAGAGCGGAAGGGCAGCGGAGCGGAGCGCGCAGCGATGCCGGACCGCGACAGTGAGTCTGGGGACAGGGGACACGGGGCACGGGGCATTCCCCGACACCCCCGGGCCGCGGCCCTTGGCCCACGCGGGGGCTGTCGCGGCGCTTGCGGCGGGGCGGGTGGCAGCGGCCCGGGGGGGCGGTGTAGGCCCAGGCTGCGCTGGGCAGTGCGGGCCCGGGGAGCCCGGCCCGGTGCGAGGGACGGCTCTGCGGGACACGGGCTGCGGCCCCGCAGTGACCGCGCGGGGATCGACACCGGGGTCCTCCGGGCGTGGGGCCGTGGCTGTTTGGGTGGGTCCTTGAGAGGATGCGGGGCCAGTCCCGGGTGCGGGGCACGGGACACCCGCGGGCACAGAGCCGCGCGGCTTGGGGGCGGTGGGTCTGGCAGTGGCACCGCCACCCCCGTGTCCTGCTCAGGCAGGCGAGGCCGGCCCGGTGCCCTCGGGCTGGGATCCAGCTCGGAGCCACGGGCAGACGCTGCTCCCTTCGGGCTGCTGGGAGGTGTGAGGCTGTGCGAGCAGTGCCTGAGCTCTCTCTCCTGTCCCCTAGATGAGCCGTTCTCCAACCCCCTGGCCCCCGAGGGCCACGACGTGGACGACTCGCACTCCTTCCACCAGTGAGTACAGCCCTGGGGCTCTGGGCTGGGCTGGAGCAGCACTGAGGGCCCCCAGGCCGATTCCCATGGAGAAGCTGGAAGTCACTGGTGCACTCCAGCCTTTGGGCCCCTCCACGGGTACCTGGTGCCCATCTCGGTCACACAGGACCTGCTCCTCCTCCACAGCTCTTTGGGAGTGATGTTTCTGTTCCTTCCCTCCCTTGCAGGTCCAAGCTGACCAATGAAGACTTCAGGAAGCTTCTCATGACCCCGCGGGCTGCGCCAACATCTGCGCCACCCTCCAAATCTCGCCACCATGAGTGAGTAGGGCTCTCTTTCACAGGTCCATGGGACAATCCGTGCCCCCTTTCCCCCTGGGGCTCTGGGCCCAGCTGACCCTCTCCCCTGCACTCTGCAGGGGAATATCTGCAGGGGCTTTTGCCAGTGAGTGTGGGAAGTGGAGAAGCACGTGGGTGAGGGCTGCTGTAAAGAAAAGAGCGAGGCTTCGTGGCTCTTAAGACACTGTGCAGGAGGCAGATTTGGTTCGGTGAAAATCAGTCTTTTCCCTTCCTCTCCCTGCTGACAGTGTAAAATTAAGAGGGGAATTAAGGGTGAGAGACTGTTCTGCTCCATCTCTGAGCACCTCAGTGCCTGAGGGACTGTTCTGTCCACCTGTCAGCCGTGTGGCTCTGCAGACTGAACGTGTGTTGAATTAGGGGGGAATTAAGGGTGAGAGACTGTTCTGTTCCATGTCTGAGCACCTCAGTGCTGTGCTGTGCCTGAGGGACTGTTCTGTCCACCTGTCAGCCGTGTGGCTCTGCAGACTGAACGTGTGTTTTTCCACCCTTTTCCAGGATGCCCCGGGAGTACAATGAGGATGAAGATCCAGCTGCTCGCAGGAGAAAGAAGAAAAGGTAAGGGGGGAAAGAGATGTAGCAGGACTTGTCATTATACATCGTGTCCTGCCAGTGGAAGCAGTTCTGATCTCTTGTGCTTCCAAAGAGGGCCTTGAGTGGATTTTTTAAGAGCTTTGGAGAAGAGCTCAGGCTGAGGAGCTGTCACTGCTTGTGGCAACAGCTGTGGGAGAGCAGCAGTAGGATGGGGCTGAAGCTTCACCTCCAGAAGAAGCAGGAGAGGCCCTGTGGATGTCTGGGAGAGCAGGGCAGTGGTGGGACCTTGCACTGATCCCTGTGTGCTTTGGAACGCGTGTGCACAGCAGGACTGCACTGGACCCCTTCCCTTTGGAAGGGAGGACGGAGCTCCTCAGTACAGCAGTTTCCTCCAGGCCTCTTGTGTCCCGTGGTGCTCTAGTGCATTTCTGGGGAAGGGACTGGGAGCAGGATGGGTGTGTGTGAGGCCTCGGGAGCTTTAGCTGACCTCAGAACCGTGAGCAGGTCACTCTTAACCCTGAGCTGTGTGCCCCCCCAGTTACTACGCCAAGCTGCGGCAGCAGGAGATCGAGCGCGAGAGGGAGCTGGCCGAGAAGTACCGGGACCGAGCCAAGGAGAGGAGAGACGGGGTCAACAAGGACTACGAGGAGACAGAGCTGATCAGCACCACTGCCAACTACCGGGCCGTGGGGCCCACGGCCGAGGCGTGCGTGGGCTGGCTGGGGGCTGGGCTGGCCGGGCTGCTCCGGGGGGGCTGGCCCTCACCTGGCTCTGGTCTCTCTGCACAGGGATAAATCTGCTGCGGAGAAGAGGAGACAGCTGATCCAGGAGTCCAAGTTCTTGGGTGGTGACATGGAGCACACTCACTTGGTGAAGGGTCTGGACTTTGCGCTGTTGCAGAAGGTGAGTGCAGGTATCACAGTGCTGCTCTTGGCCTGTCCTCTCCCACAGACACGCTGGGTGGGGCTTACTGCTTGGTCCTGGCAGCATGGATTTCGTTTCCTGGGAAGGGTTGCTGCAGGGCTGGGGATCTGATGGGCTCGCAGGTGGGCAGCAATGGCATGGGATGGGCTGTAATGTGTGGATTTACTCTGCATCCAGGTACGAGCTGAGATTGCCAGCAAGGAGAAGGAAGAGGAGGAAATGATGGAGAAGCCCCAGAAAGAAACTAAGTGAGTGATTGAGTATTTGACGTTCCTGAGTGCAGCTGCTTGCCACAGAAGAGGATGCAGAGGAGTCATTCACTTGGCTCTAACACTTCTGGTTTCTGTTTCTGTTTAGGAAAGATGAAGATCCTGAGAACAAAATTGAATTCAAGACCCGGCTGGGTAAGACTGTGTTGATGTGGCTGTTCCCCACCTTGTCTGTGCTGTGAATGTGGGAGAAATCCTGGAGAGTGAATGTAGGAATGAAAACCATTGGAGGGGGAGATTCCTGCATGTGAGGACTGAAGGAAGTGTGTACTTAGGAGGTGATTCTCATATTGCTGATAAACTAAACATGGTTCACTTTGGGCTTGTCCTCTGCTTTCCCACACTTTTCCTTCTGCCCAGGCCGCAACATTTACCGCATCCTGTTCAAGAACAAGACGTACGAGCGGAACGAGCTGTTCCTGCCGGGCAGGATGGCCTACGTGGTGGATCTGGACGACGAGTACGCCGACACCGACATCCCCACCACGCTGATCCGCAGCAAGGCTGACTGCCCCACCATGGAGGTACCGGCTGGCCTGCAGCCTGCTTCCCCTCGCTGCTCTGGGTTGGCCAGAGCAGGTTGTTCTGGGAGGGCTTCCCTGTCAAGGCAGCGGGATGCTTCCTCCTGGATTTCCCTTTCAGGCACAGACCACGCTGACCACCAACGACATCGTCATCAGCAAGCTCACGCAGATCCTC